GAGAATACCAGCAACACTCCCATAAAAGCCATTCCTTTATAACCAACAGTCTAGTCTACTCTCCAAATTGCAAGAAAGACTTCAAAATGAGTCATTTAGAATAAAATGTGTTTCCTGCAGAAGAAATTGGAATGGCTGTTTGGAGCACTGAAGGCCTGTATCTACCCAAAATACTTCTTTTGGAGCTACTTTTCCCTGAAATGTTCAATATTACAGTTACATTTTTAAAAGGAGAGGGAAAAAGCCCTCATCTTTAGGCAACCCAGGGTTTACTGGCCTTCCTAAGCCTTTAGCCAACATAATGAGGACTCTGCCTGGACTGGCCATGCAGCATCTCAGGCTGTGTGTCACCTGTGAAAAGAACAACCTGACTTTATTCCAATTCTCTTCTGAGCCATAGCCCATTAACACAGACTCCTGATCCTTTTTGTTTTGTATTTTATGTCTAATTTTAAAGGAAAGCGTTCCTGGTCAAGGGATCATTTCCCATGGCTCTTCTTTTAAGTTGTCTGAAATTCACAGGCTGACCTAATTAGACAACAGGAAGGCCACTGGGGACAGAGCAGCCGGTAGTCTGTCTAATGAGATTTGGATGCTCAATGTTATTGGTCTATAGATTCCAGCTCCCATCCAGTTGACCGGACGTTATTTCAATGGTATGGGTCTAGTCACTTGTTCAGTCAATGTTTAGAGTTATCAGAGCAAGTGGCCCTGATTGCTTATTCAGGAGCGAGTAAGAAACAGACTTTATGAAGATATTTGTGTGCCCAGATTTGAGAATTTTTGTTGGCCCAACATCTATACTCATCCACTTCCCATTTCTGTGAAAAATGCCTGAAGCTGGATACTTCATGAAGAAAAGCATATTTAGCTCACAGTTTGGGAGGTTTGAGAGTAGGCCTTAATGGCTGCTCAGTTCTGCTGAGCACCCTCCTGACTGCACTGCAACAGGGTCAAAGGCATCATAGGTCACCACTGAGACACATGCAAGAGGGAGTGACCACCAGGTGAGAAAAGCAGCCAGAGTTCCCACACAAAACTGTCTCCCCTTCCCGGCATTTGCCATAGCAAACGATTCTTAAGATAGGTCTCGGGCCAAATTTCAGATCCAGGTAGAAATACTAACCCTTTGCTGAAACGTTAAAGAATCTTCTCAATAGCCTAGAAGCTCTCTCACAAATCTTGCTTTTAATTAAGATTTATTTATTTTTATTGGAAAGTGAGATATACAGAGAGGAAGAGATATAGAGAATATCTTCCATCTGATGACTCACTCCCCAAATGGCCACAAATGCCGGAACTCAGCTGATCCAAAAGCAGGAGCCAGGAACTTCTAGTTCTCCCACGCAGGCGCAGAGTCCTAGAGCTTTGGGCCGTCCTCAACTGCTTTCCCAGGCCACAAGCAGGGAGCTGGATGGGAAGTGGGGCTGCTGGAATTAGAACCAGCACCCATATGGGATTCCAGCGTGTGCAAGGCAAGACTTTAGCCATTAGGCTACCCTTGCCAGGCCCCTCACAGGATCTTTTTTTTTTTTTAAGATTTATTCTTATTATTTTTTATTGGAAAGGCAGATATACAGAGAGGAGAGACAGAGAGGAAGATCTTCCGTCCAATGATTCACTCCCCAAGTGAGCGCAACAGCCGATGCTATGCCGATCCGAAGCCAGGAGCCTCTTCTGGGTCTCTCACACGCGGGTGCAGGGTCCCAAAGCCTTGGGCCGTCCTCAACTGCTTTCCCGGGCCACAGGCGGGGAGCTAGAAGGGAAGCGAGGCTGCCGGGGATAGAACTGGCGCCCATATGGGATCCCGGGCGTGCAAGGTGAGGACCTTAACCACTGCGCCATCGTGCCGGGCCCCCTCACAGGATCTTAATGGCATACTTCACAGATGTTCTCATCAAAGAATATAACATCTAACAGCAAGAACAACATGGTTCCACAGTAGTCTCACAGTAAGCCCAAAATAGAGAGGGCTTCTTTTCTTTCTTATTTTTTTAATAATTGTTTTTATCTTATTTGAAAGACATAGTTACTGAGAGAGAGAACTGGAGAAAACAAAAGAGAGATCTTCTATCCACTGGCCACAACAATCCAGGCTGAGCCAGGATGAAGCCAGGAGCAAAGAGCTTCTTGCAGATATCCTGTATGGGTGCAGGGGTCAAGTACTCGAGTAATCTTCCACTGTTTTCCTAGGCGCATTAGCAGGGAGCTGGATTAGAAACAGAGCAGCTGCCTGCCTCACAGTCGGTAGCTTTACCCACTACACCCAATGGCAGCCACAAAGGGCTTATTTTCAGGTTTGTGGGCAAGATTTCTGTATAATGAGATGCATTTAATAATAGGCACACAGAAACCCAGACTTTAAAAGACAAAGAAATGACAGGATAAACACAGAAGCTGCTTAACCTTGAACTAGTGTGAGGAAGCAACTGGTTTGAAAAGTATTCAGGCAAACATCTGACAGAAATGGAAAGGAAAACCCAGAGGGTAGAACCAAAAACCCAAAGAAAATGACCACACAGGATTGAATCTGATCAAAGAACTGACATCTCACTCCAGCTCAATTTCCAGACCAGTATGGACTGGAAGTGTTGGATATTTTTTCTTTTCCCCTTTCTGAGAGAGGGTGCTATTCCAGTTTTCCAATGTCTATCCCACAGTAGGAATTGGAGAAAGTAGAGGAGGTACAGAAAGAATTTCATCCACATTGGACAGATGATGAGATCCCAGACTTGCAACAGTGTCCGTGATCCAAAAAGATCCAAAGAGATCTCAGGACTCGGGGCATGGGAGCACTGTTACATGAGAAAGACCCAAGGGACCAAGGAGCAGGAGTCCAAGTCAAAATTTACTGTAAGCTTTCCTTGTATCCATTCTACTCAGATCTCTAAACAACCTTCAAGAATAGGCAATCCTAGAGCCCGGCACGGTAGCCTAACGGCTAAGGTCCTCGCCTTGCCCATGCTGGGATTCCACATGGGCGCCAGTTCTAATCCCAGCAGCCCCACTTCCCATCCAGCTCCCTGCTTGTGGCCTGGGAAAGCAGTTGAGGACGGCCCAAAGCACCCACATGGGAGACCTAGAAAAAGTTCCTGGCTCCTGGCTTCAGATCAGCTGAGTCCAGCTGTTGTGGCCAGCTGGAGAATGAATCATCAGATGGAAGATCTTCTGTCTATCTTCCTCTCTGTATATCTCATTTTCCAATAAAAATAAATAAATCTTTTTTTTAAAAATAGGCAACCCTAGGAATCTTTTGGCTACAGTTGCTTCCCAAGGACTAAAAGTAAGCCTACTAGGGAATGGACCAGAGAGTACTGCAGCAGAACTGGTCAGCCAGGCAACATTCAGAGGGGCCAACCATGCACGCACCTTCAGGTGCCTTTTTCCAGCCTTCACTCCCAAGCTTCACCTCCTGGTAATCAGGTCTTAGCTCCTTTGGCTACTGAGAGGCCCTGGAGAAGTGATGAGCGTATTTTGTATATAGATGAATGTGAATTATTGTGGCTAGAGTGTGGTCTGAGGAAGGTGATATTTTCCACTCCAACCCCCATGACTCTGACATTCCTGCCATTGAGCAGTGGGTTTTTGCCCCTCCTCCATGAGTCTGGAGTTTGGAACATCCATAGAAATGACATTGAGATTTCTCATTTGTGTGACTAGACTGTAAAAAGCTATGCAACTTCTGCCTGATTCTCTTTGGGACTCTTGCTCTGGAAAGCCAAAACCATGCTGTAAGGCAGTCAGCCAGCCACATGGAGAGACTGCATGTGGGTGTTTGGGCTAATGACACCCGCAAAGGCCCCAAATGACAGCCATCACCACCTCCAGATGGGTGAGTAAGTCAGCCCTCCAGTCCTCCGTGGTTGAGTCAGCCCATCCAGGCTTTCATTTGGCCTGGCTGAGACCCAGGCTGTATGGCACAGAGATAAGTGATTGGCCTTTTATGGATCATCATCCACCAAAATCCATGAGTTAATATAACAGTTGTTGTGTTGTATCTCTGAGTTTGAGGTAGTTTGTTAGTAATAAATCTGTGCACCTGTGCAGTGAATGCCAAGAGCCTTGAACTCTGGAGATGGGCCTGGCTTTCCATCCCAGTCTCACCCCTTACCATTGGGTGATGGCCAGTAAAGCCAGTTGGGGGTGAGGAATCTTTTTTTCTAACAGGAACGTTTGGTTATTTAGAACAACCTTCGCAGGCCATACAAAATTATCACCTTAAAATTAGCCTGCCCCATAAAAACTAAATAAAATCCTTTTGCAACAAAATGGATACAATTGGAGACCAGTATGCTTAACGGAACAAGCCAATCCCCAAAAGGTAAATACCATATGTATTCTCTGGCTTGTGGTTACTAATATATACAATACAGTAAAATGTAAGGTATAGGGGAATCCCAGAGCATATGAAACTGTGTCATAAAATGAAATTAAATTAAACTGCTATTTTCACACAAAAAAATGCAAGGTATATGAGTGAAATTGACATCTTGAGATTTGATTATTGTTTAAACTCTCTGCCTATACTCCTGAGGAACAGTGGGCCTTCTACTTTCTACCTGTAGGAGTCTTCATTTAATAGAATTTATTAAGTTTGTGATTATAAAGTAAATTGACAATGTATTATCACAAAAATTAAAAGAAGAACAAGAAAGGATGGAGGAAGGAAAGTGGTATGGAGGAAGGGTGGGAAGTATCATTATGTTCTTAAAACTGTATAGCTGAAACGCATGATATCTGTTGTCTTTATATAAACACTTTTTTAAAAAACAGACTTCTAAAGATTTATTGATTTTCTAGTCGTGCCTGTGGTTGCTTTGGCAAGGCCAGACCAAATGATTTTTAGAGTTCGATGCAATCCGTGGGCCAGATGTTTCCACCCCTACTAGCTCATCATTACAGCCTCATGGGTTGTTTAAAAGGATTTAAAAGAGGAGCACTTCAAAAGCATTATGCAAAGCATTTGCTACACAGGACACACTCCCTGTCTCCGTGGTTGGTCCTCAGCCACGCCTTTAGTACCTCTGACATATCTGTATGTGCCAGGGCCAGTGCACAAGAGTCAGGAACAATGCTTTTTTCATCTCTGCATTCCGATGCCTCACCCAGAGTACTTAGTTGACTATTTTCAAATTCAAATAATAGAAAAGTATTTTATACAAGGTAAAGTGTTGAGGAAGTATGCAGTGTAAATTATGCCTAATTAACTTAGAATTTGATTCACACCACAGAACCTTATATGGTCCGGCATTCTCACAACAGCCATCTCCTTAGCAACACCTGGCAATGGTGAAGACCTTCAGGGAGGTGCAGGGCTGCTTCATCAGCTTATCTCAGTCAAGACCACAGGCACACACTTCCTTCTGCTCCACAGCGGACAGCATGAGCTCTCTGATCCTCTTCCCAAGTCCTGCCTTCCAAAGTTCCACATCGTGGACCAATTTCCTTCCTTTGAAAAGGTCAAAAATCATATGGCCATCATGTGGCTGACTGAAGAGGATGTCTGTTTTTTCCTTCAAAACTAGAGTCAACTACATTTTCTTGCAAGTTCCAGAGAACCTTCCAAACAAGAGTTAAAATAATGCTTCCAACAACTTAGAATTCCCCACTTAAAGGTGCGGCAAAACACTTATTTCAATCCATGACTTTACAGTCAGAAGTCACAATTTCCATTTTCTAAGTATTCCAGTTTTGCCTGAACAAACAAGGAACACAAAGGAAACTTTGGAAGGACACTTTATAACCTATACCCGTGACTTAGACAAACGGTAGAAGGCCTTGCATGAGCAAAAGGAAAGTAAAACACTTTCAAGAACTTGTTGACTCATTTCATAGTCAATGAATCGCACTGTGATTCCTTTAAGTGGTAAATTCATCAAGAAAAGGATATTCAATATATATTCTAAATTACATTAAATAGAGGAGGGAGGCAAGGGAGACTGCAACTTATATAGGGTTTTTTCATCCTGAAAACTGTTCATACAGAAGGAAACTTAAATATTTTTCTCAGTACCTTGAAGAAAAATATTATGACTAAGTATGAATAGGCTAAGTTTCAAGTTTCCATGAAAACAGCCCCTCCTCTCAAATAAAATGAGTCTTAACAAGAAAAAAAAATGCTCTTGAAGTATTACCTCCAGGTAATGTAGAAAAGTAAGAAATAAATTTTTGAAATGCAACTCACTCATTATCAGTGGACCCATCCGGCAAATGTTTCAAGAGTGATACCAGTGACAGAAGCAACCCCAGTCGCCAGTAGTGCAATGATATGCCCCAGAAGTTTGTCTCCAACTTCAGAGCATCTACAGTCTAATTATGAAGATGAACTCAACCGTAATTGCTAAATGTCATTGGAGCTATGAAGGAAACAGCAGAAGTGATGGGAGATGAGAAATGGATACTACGGAACGATCTGGAAGGCTTCTGCCCAAAAGTGGCATTTGCACTTGGGTCATAAGGATGATGACTTTCTTTCCAAGGGCTATCAGAACAAAGAACCACAAACTGAGAGGTTGAAAACATATTCCCTCACTGATCTGGTTGAATCCTTTTCTTGCCTCATGCTAGTACCATCCTTGCTCTTTTGCTGGTTAAGATTATAAAACGCCATTCCAAAGCTTCATTATTGCCTTCTATCTGGCAGTGACGGCCATCAATCTTTATTCTTCCTTGCCGTGAAGCTGACTGACTCCAAGCTCTGTGTTCATTGTTGCGTGGTGTTCACATTACATATCCCATGGGAACACAAGTCACATTGGATTAAGGGCCCACTGCCCCACACGATCTCAACTAAATACATCCACAACAGTCTTTTTTCTAAGTAAGGTCACATTTCTGAAGCATGGAGGGTTGGACCTTAAACATATCTTCTTAGGAGATACTCTTCAACTCGTAATAGACAGGAACCAACCAGGACAAGAGAGAGGTCAGGGGGAGAAATCATCAAAGGCCCTGGGACAGGATGAGGCTCAGCATGTGAGAACTGCAGGGAGTCAGGGGACTGACATCTCCATGAGCTCTCTCCTCTCATCTCACCTTTGTGCGCCTGCCCTTTCTCATGAAAACTCATCAAAATGGTCAGTCTTCACTGTATCAGAGCTAGAGAGCAAACCCTGACTCTGACAGATCTCCGACTACATTGCCAACATCTTGATTAGACAAAGCCAAAGGATGGAACTCAGAGTCTTCTGGACACACTTTCTCACTAGCTGTGCCCAAAATATAAAATCCAAAATCATTTGTCTTCCAGGAGTCTGTGTTGTGACATGGCAGGTAAAGTCACTTGTGATGCTGGCATCCCATGTGTGCACCTGTTCATGTCGTGTCTGTCCCACTTCCCTTGCAGCTCCCTAGCCCAAGTGTCTGGGTCCCTGCCACCAGCGTGGGAGAATCAGATGAAGCCCGTAACTTCAGCCTGGTCCACTGGCCCACTGGTCACTGCAGCCAGCTGGGAAGGAAACCCAGAAGGAAAAACATCTCTGATTGTCCCTCTCTCCTTGGATCTCTTTCAAAATAAATAAAATCCTAAAGAAAAAAAAAAAAACCAACAACAACAAAAACGCTTCCTTGCTTCCTTCCTTCATTCCTCCCTTCCATCTCTCCTTTCTTTATTTGAAGAGGTCAGAAGGATGGCCCCAAAGACCCAGCATTCGTGGGAGCTGTAGTTCCTGCCTCAGAGCCTAGCCCTGCTGGGAACAGTACTCCAGACCTGGACCATCCCTGGCTATTGTGGCCATGTTTAAGTGAATCAGCTTGTGAATGACTTTTTTTTTTTTAGTTTAAAAAAAATAGTTTGCCCTTCACTTTTTCAGGTCTTGAGGAATTGTGCACGCAACTTGAAACCTCAGAATAAATTATAAAAAAGCAAGCCTCAATTAAAACACACATAAAGAGAAAAACACCTTGATGGTCATTTCCGTAGTTCCAATGAGCTGGTTCCCAGAAGATTGCATCTGAGTATGTGCCCTTGTTTTTAAAGCCAGCCCACATCCTGTTGCTGTGGTCATTTGCTTCTTTGAATCCAGATCAGCTCAATAACCAATCATGAGACCATAACTGAGATGCAGTGTCCAGTTAGGCAACTTCTGTAAACGCTTCCTTTGCTTATAACAGAATTATAACTGTTGAAGTTGTAACAGATCCCAAACAGTAAAGAAATCAGACAGCTGATACTGGACTCACTAAAGAGTGCTAGAATAGCAAGGATACAGCAGACCAGAGTATCTTCAAGCTGGAGCCACTTTTTGCTTCTTGTCCCTGGGGATAACTGGATAAATGACTACATGTGGAAGCCACAGTTTACCATGGAACAGGTTCTTCTAGAAAGCTGAATGGGACACAGAGAACCTTGTGTGTCACATTTTCCTGGAATGCAACACAAGTAGATTTGAAATGCATTGTGTAAAAGATTTGCCTGCCATTCACAAACTTTACTAGACTTCCAAAAACCCAGGCAGCTAACTAAACAGCACCAGCTTTGTTCAAAGTCAAATCCTCCTAAGTACATCAACTTGGGTGCTCGTCAGAGCTCTGAGAGCAAGGCTGGCTGAAGCAATGTGAAGAATCACATAACCATGTCCATTTCACCTCAGATCTCAGTTCACATCATTTGTGAAAGAGGCAAAAAGATGTTTGTGGGTCCTTACATCCTAAACTAGGAGGTTCTCTAGAACTGCCCCTTATTAGTTGAGCAGCATTAAGAAACAAGGTACCAGGCAGGACTAAGTAAAAGATACAATGGTACCCTAGAAAAACGCTGGGAACCAAGAGATATGGATTTCACTGTGACTCTGCCTACCAGGTATACAGTCACACTAAGAACAAATGACTGCATTTGTCCATTTTGTGTGGCTGTCATAAAATTCCTGAGGTAGGTCTTTCATTTATCCTATAGTTTTGGACGTGAAAGTCTAAGAGCAAGTGGCCCTATCTATTCAGCCACTGGGGAGGACCTTGTCTCCCTTACTTGACATCACATGGAAGGAAAACAGAAAGGGAACCACTACAGACAAAAGGGGCTGAGACCTAAGGTGGCTCTACACTTGTACAGCCCATGTCAATAGACATAACTAGAGCCTTCGAGAACTTGACTCCCTCTGACAGTAGAGCCCGTGTGACCTAAGTCCTCTCCTTTAGCTCCACCTTGGAAAGGTTCCAACACCTCAACACCACCACAATGCAAATACCAACCTTCTAGCACATGAACATCTCAGGGACAAATCACACCCAAACCCTAGCAGGACTCAATATTCCTTCTTTTTTTTTTTTTTTTTTTTAAAGATTTATTTTTATTATTTTTTCATTGGAAAGGCGGATATACAGAGAGGAGATACAGAGAGGAAGATCTTCCATCCGATGACTCACTCCCCAAGTGAGCGCAACGGGCCGATACTATGCCAATCCGAAGCCAGGAGCCTCTTCCGGGTCTCCCACGCGGGTGCAGGGTCCCAAAGCTTTGGGCCGTCCTCGACTGCTTTCCCAGGCCACAGGCAGGGAGCTGGAAGGGAAGCGGGGCTGCTGGGATTAGAACCGGCGCCCATATGGGATCCCGGGCGTGCAAGGCGAGGACGTTTAACCACTTGCGCCACCGCGCCGGGCCCTCAATATTCCTTCTTAAATAAGCAGATTGTGCCCCAAGTCCTTCACAGAGTTAACAAGACTGATTGTGCTAATTATGCAAAAACACTTTGAAAATGGTAAAGAAGGGCCAGCATAATGATACAAGGAGCTAAGCCACCACTTGTGACAGCCATCACTCCACTTGAACACTGGTTCAAGTCCTGGCTGCTCCATTTCTAATCCAGTGGCTGATTATGCCTAGAAAAGCAACAGAGAATATACAAGTGTTTAGGTCCCTGTCACCTATATGGGAGATGCAGATGGATTTCTAAGCTCCTAGCTTCAGCCTGGCCCATCCTTGGCCACTGTGGCCATTTGAGAAGTGAAGCAGCAAATGTAAGATCTGTCTCTCTCTCTCTATCTCCCTACCTCCTTCCTTCCCTCCCTCCTCTCCCTCTTGCCCTCTTTCTCATTCACCCTCTCCCTCTCTCCTCTCTCTGTATATATATATATATAAATATATATTTTATATATATAAATATATATATTTTTAAATATATATAAATATATATATATTTTTATCTCTCCATATTTATAAATGGTAAAGGTCATGAATATGAAAGATCTGATGACTTACTCCTTCTCTCCAAGCATCTCTCTAAAAGCAGTTCCTGTCCATGCTCACCATCACCTTCAGCTGCCCTTTTCTGGGAGACACCCTAGGGCTGTCCATAGGCTCCAACCCTCTCAAACACACCCTCTCCTCTGCCATCAAGCATTGTCCACCACAGCTGCAGATGTCAGCCCAGTGGCTGTCAACCTGCTGTATGTTCATAATTGTGGGGTAATTTTTTGAATCACTGATACCTGAACCTAGTCACAAACCATTCATCCAGTTGGTCTTGACCATGATTAATTCAGGGTTTTAAAAGCAATGCTGGAAACTCTAATGGGCACCCATGAGTTTGGGGATTTGTTTTTTTAAGCCATCATCACTCTTTTGAAGGCACAAATAGCAAAATATTGATAAATATTTATTTAACATCTGCAATGGACCAAGCACCGTGGCAGGTATTTAAGCGCATCAGCTCATTTAATCCTCAAACCCTCCTGTAATGTAAGTGCTTTTATGCTTTGCTGAGAGAAATTGGGATTCCTAGAGAGAATGCTAAGTGCTGGACTCCCAACACTGCAACTGAATGGGAATCGGTTGTCTGGCTGGGGTACTTCTGAAGCCGTGTCATTGGCAAATGGGTTTGGAGGAATGCTGAGAAATATGCTTTTAATTGGCAATAGAGAAAGGAAAGGAATTTGTCCTTCCAAAATGAGCCTTAAATCTCCAATGCTTTCCAAAGCAGTGTGACTGCAGCATTTTTTTTTTCATATCTTACAGGCACAGTTGACCCTCAAATATATTAAAATGTGAGGTTTAATTTAATTTTATATTGCATTCCATAAAGCAGTGGTATCTTACTCTCAGATTTCATAGTCCAAAGACAAGAATAAATGATGAAGTTTAAGGGAGGGAAGAACCTTCCAAACAGCTCCCTTTCTTTCTCTCCTCCATGCCCCCAGAGCTGTAGCGAATCACAGTGTGTATTAAGCCTAGACCATCCATAAGTTGTAAGATCTCAGTTTCCTGTGTTTGGGTAGACGAGAACTCATTCACACGAATGTGTTTAGAATCTGTGGTTTTCTAATTGTGCTCTCGGAGCCGCTGGGTTCTGAGGGGAGTTGGGAGTGGCTAACTTAGAAGACAGGACATTGAACCTAGCTGGGGGTACTGGAGCCCTGCCATCCCCACTTTTCCAGAGCCACTCAACTTTCATTTCCTTGACCTTTTGAACTTCACATGAGTGTCAGTTTGAAGAATGGGCTGCCCCTCTGTTGAAGTGCGTAAGTCTGAAAACCACCGTTTTGGTTACTAAGTTGTGGTTCAAACCTTGTAAGAATTACCAGTTTTTAGAAAATAGGATTACAACAAAAGATATTGAATCCTGAACCCATACTAAGTCAGTGTAAATGATTGGAGGGAGTAGCGTAAGACTTTATTTTAGGAGTGCCTAATAGAAGGCTCTAATAGAAGGGTGATCACAGAAGGTGGCATTCTTGTCTCTCCAAGCATGTTGTATGCACACAGGAGAAACATTCAAAGTTGCTGTTAGTAGAAGTGAGGGTGCTCTTCAGAGACGGGTCACAAAAACCTAGGATAGTCCCTAATCTGCACAGTGCACAGAACCTGGCCCAGCCTTCTTACCCTCTTCAAAAGCAGCAGTGGCACAGGAAGCCCAGAACATTCTATGTGGAAGCACAAGCTAAAGAGGTAGCAACATTTCACCAAATCACGTTACATAACTTTTGCCATGATGTGTGAAGTGGGAATTTTTTAATTCTAATTTCAAATTGTTATGGGGTGTGAGCGAGATCACACCATACATGTCTAAGGTTTATTAAGGAGTCTTTATTAACCAAGCTTTGTGATAATAGAGCATACTAGAAATAGCAAATCACAAGTCCATATGGCAATCCAACCAATCATAATCCAACCAAACATAATCCAAAAGGGAAACAAATGGTCATTACCCTTAAGTTTATCCGTTAAGTTGAAGGCCTATGTCTTAGCTTCCCAATAATAAAAGTTATCCTAAGAGACATGCAACAAATAGCCTAGACACACTTACAAAGCTGCAGACATTCACCTTTCCCTGGCTTATCTGCCCACATTCCATCACTGCTAGGCTTCACCTCTCCTGGAACTCCTGATAGTACACAAACAGAAACAACATTACTATATCCATTGCCCCATGTAAGCAGTACACAGGGACCATGATTGCTCTGACTAGCAGAGCTAGTAACGTGGACAGGGAGAGGGTCTGGGGATGAAGCACCGGTAGGAGAACAAGTGGTAGATGTCTCGCTTTATTGCTCCTTCACCTCTCCTTATATACTCTTCCCCTGCCACATCCTAATTTAGCCAGGATATTGGGTACAGGTGAGTCCAATTAGTCTGGGTGTTTTTTGCCACAAGCCCAGGTCCTGTTCCTACACAGCTCAATGAATGCTAATCAACTCCTTAGCCCACTGTCAATGGGTACTGGCCATCATTGGCTGCACCCCATAACAAAATAAACATTTACATTATTTTGTTCTTGCAGAACAATATTTTCATAAGTAACTGGCTTCATTTTTTGCTTTTGGTTGCTGCTCCAGATTGTTTCGGCCAAGAACTACAAAGCCTGCCTTCTTACCTTTAAATAGGAAGACAGGAAAAGCCAAAGGCAGAGAAGCTGGTATTAAAATTCAGTGAATTAACCAATGGCACAAAGGGTAAACTTCTGTGTACAGGAATGAGAGGAAGTTGCCTGAAAGTTACATTTTATCACTTCATTGAAAACTTCAGAAAGCGTCTTTTCTGTGATCATATAATGCAGTCTATTACGAAGGCACACCATACTTGCTTAATCATTCTACTGCTTAAGATTGTTCCCATAGGGCCCAGCACGATGGCCTAGTGGCTGAATCCTTCTCTTACAAATGCCAGAATCCCATATGGGCACCGGTTCATATCCCAGCTACTCCACTTGCCTTCCAGCTCCCTGCTTGTGGCCTGGGAAAGCAGCAGAGGATGGCCAAAAAGCCTCGGGACCCTGCACCCACATAGGAGACCCAGAAGAAGCTCCTGGCTCCTGGCTTCAGATCAGTTCAGCTCTGGCCATTGTGCCACTTGGGGAGTAAATCAGCGGATAGAAGTTCTCTCTGTCTCTCCTTCTCTCTATAAGTCTGCCTTTCCAAATAAATAAATCTAGAGGAAAATAGGTAAAATAAAATAAATATTTTTTAAAAGATCATTCCTACTTTTGAGTTATGATAAATAACATTGCGATGAACATCTCTGAGCATAGATCTCAGCCTGCATCTCAGGTTATTTCCTCTGAATAAGTAACAACACTAAGTATTACTCATACCCAGATAGTTTCTCATACCACATTTTAATGACATACTCCTTCCTGAAGTCTGCCATTCCTCTCACTATTCCATGATCTTCTACTCCTTGTAGAAGATCTTTCTTTTCTTGACGCCTTTAGCAATTTCTAGATTTGCCTCTGGGCTCCTGTCCAATTTTATTTCCAAAGCTATTTCTTGGGGCTTTTTTTTTTCAATCATCTATTTCAAGTATCCTGACCACTAGACATTAGCTCTTCACCAAGAATGGAGCTATCTCAGTGCTATGCAATCATTTAGCAGTCTACACCTTACTGTGCTTTGCAAGCCATCCCCCAGGGATCTTTCTGTGCATACTTTGGGTCTTAGATTCTCCTCTTTTTCTAATACCCCTGTGTTTTCAAAGCATATATTCGAACAGATAGGAAACAGTCCCTGTAATGTAACTCACACTTTCTGAACTCTTTTTGCATGAGAAATTTCAAATGCTTAGAAAGAAATTATGGCTTTGTATAATTCTTTTAGATCACAATTGCACTGGGGATTGTGGCAGACCTGCTAAAATTTGCACTCATTAGCATCTGAGTTGCAGTTAAACACCTTTCTATATTCAGTGCTCTAGCAAAATAGGCCCATAGATCTATACCAGCCATCTCCCTGTAGTTAAATTAAATGAAACCAAATTTGAAACTCTTTGGAAGCACAAAGAGGTTTCAAATATTTCCAATGTATCTTCACTTTACATCGATGTTTTCAGGCTCTGAGAAGAATCAGATTGGGGGACTGGTTGTTCATTTCAAAACTCTCCAGTTTAAGAGTGAACACACCTTGAAAAGTTCCATAGGGGATTCATACTCCCCAATACTACTTGGCTTCACCATAGCTTTTCCATCCATTCCATCAAAGCAAGAGGGCTTACCAAATGCTGCAGCAAGCACTGTGGTCCAATGGGTGCCCATGAACCACCTCTTCCTTACATTCAATGGAGAGAGTTGTAGACAAAGGTAATGTTTTTGTGTCCTGAAATCTGCAAGAATTGCCTCTGTGCAAAAACATATCTTATAAGATTATACAAATCATGCCACCCAGGCAACCTGAGGCTATTTGAAATGCAGCCTTCCTCTTCCTGCTACAAACTCTACAATATCCATTTTAATGAGAAAATGAATCTGACCAGGGCTGAAATCTGACCCAAATGCATCCAGACGACCATGTTAGTCATTAAGACACCCAGATATTTTTGTATCCATTGGTAAATAACTGTTTCCAACACAGCCCATCCCTGATCTGAGGTCCATCCTTTTATTAGGCTCTAGCAATTAAAAAGTGAACATTTGGCACAGCACTGGTTTCTAGCTCCCTAACATAACCCTACTGAGCCAGGATCCACTTTGACTAATGATATAATTTTGGAGTAATAAATATTTTAGTGTCATTTGTTTTCACTGAACAAATGTCTCAGCTCATGTTAAAAAAAAAAAAGAAAGTCAGTTTGTTTGCCATCACTTTAAAGGAATGAAATGCTCTTTTAATCTCATCTTAAATTCTTCAACAACTATTTACTAAGTACCTGGTTTATAGTCAAAGAGGAACAGTTCTACCTCTACAAAGCTTCCAAGCTAACGATAAAGTCATAAAACCAAATAATTTCTTTCTTGTGCAATAAATGCTACAATGGGGGCAGGTTTGGTGTACTAAGAGAGCGCAGAGAACAGCACTTTGGAAGGTGCACAAAGATTAGGTGATGGTGAAGCTGAAAGAAACAACAGGGTACATTGATATAAACCACTCATGCGGGTAGGGACAAGGGTCATTCTGGAAAAGCACAAACCTATGTAGAGAATTTATGGAAGGCCTTAAAAGCCAAAGAGAAACAATAAGAAGTTGTGATAGCTAGACAGAAGAAATAGACGAGGAATAAAGCTGTGCAGTGAAGCCAGGCAATGATTTGCTTTTCATGTCTCCTAACTATGCAGAAGTTGAGACACGGAATGAGTCTGTGATTTTCATTCCTGTGTGCCTCAGGGTACTAATGGTAGTAAGCTGTAGTGAAACTCGCCAAGGTTTTACCCCCATTTTACTCGCAAAACCACCCTGGAAGTCTACCAAGATCCCCATGAGCACAGGGTATGTGCATGAGTTGACAGCTGTTTCCCTTAAAGGACAAGATCTTCATCATAGTTCTTCAGGGTGATGGCACCCACAAGATTAGCCTGAATGAAAAACACCCAGTAAATGCTGAATGAATGAATGAATGAATGAAAACAAACCACAGTAGCAAGTTTTGACATGGATCTCTTAAAAAGTGCCTCCCTCTGGAGTGCTTGACTAAGCAATCGTGACAATTCAGTAATCATTGCTTCCAATCAAGAGTGACACTTTTAAAAAATGTATTTTAAAGACAAAAGACAATGATCACCTTGCTGATCGTCTCATCTATTTTCAATCATTGTTGTTCAAAACCTAGAATGTTTGATGAATTTTAACGTTTGGAAGTGAATATTTGCTGGAGTTTTGTCAATACTTCACTACTTCTTATCCCATTGCTTCTTGTTGCCCAATCTGTTTGGTTGTCTTTCCTCCTTATTCTCAAGTGACTGACCAGTAGATAGTGTGGTGCAGTGGTTAAGCCACCACTTGGGATGCCTACATTCCATATGTGGTGCTTGCACTGGAGTATTCACTCCACTTCCAGTTCTTTCCTCTAGCATGCACCAGGCCACAGGTGATGTGTCAACAACTTGGGCTCTTGCCACCTAAGACATTTGGATGGAGTTGCCAGCTTCTGGCTTCTGCCTGATGCAAGCTTTGCTCTTATATGCATTTCACAAATGAATCAAAGTGTGTGTGTGTGTGTGTGTGTGTGTGTGCCACACTGCCTTTCAAATAAACAAAAATACTTAAATAAAACTTTAAGTGGTTGTTGTCCTAGAATTCCCAACTCATTCCTGGATTTTTGTTATTTTAGCTCTGAAAATCCATGTCCCTATATACCTTCCTACTCCAGGCCGAGGCAAGCTGGATTAGTTTATAATCCTTTGTGGGGAAATTCAGAAGACAATGAAAGGTTTCAGCCACTTTGGCAAGGGAACATTTCAGAAGCCTCATATCAATTCACAAAAATCTGCCCTGTCAATAAAGCAGTAAAGGGCATTCTAAGAAGGATTAGCACATGCAAATCCTTGATTATTGCTTCATCTTAGAGGCCAAAGGAACAGTAGCAGGGAAAATGGAGAAATTTCTAATTCTGAAGATAGATATTTCTCTAACAGCATAGCAGACACACTCATCTTCATATGCAAGTTAGAGCTGTTGACAAGAAACCCTTTTGATTGCCAGTTTGAATTAATATGCTGTGCTCTCATCCACTGCCGTGAGCGATCCAAGATGTCCCTCTCTTCCCGAGGGACAGGGTGGTTTGGATCGAATCCTATCTATTACATTCACCTGTTAGTTCCTGCTGTTAAGGCAAATAAATAAGAAATCTGATGTGACTAAACACCACCACGGTGGCTTGATATAGCAAAGGGCTAATTTATTTTTGATCTCCTACTCTTGTACACACATCTGACTCAGAACAGCTCACCTTCTCCCCAGGGACTCCAGCAGCTAGCTTGATGAAACACCTAAATATTATGCAGCAATCCTTGGATTCATTTTTTTCTCTCTTCTTCACTAACTCTTTGCTCTAAACATCTGTTTTCCCCTGTGGTAGCATGAGTTCATCAGCAGAACAGCACAGCAGGCCCATATATAAACATAATCTGGACTATGAAGCTTCACAGTATACTGTGTGCTCCTTGGGCTTTCTTAAACACCTTAATAACCAAGTAACTTACAGTGGGGTCTCCAGATATTTTCACGCTACCATAGTCCACCAAGGTAACAAATCATCTGCTTCACATGAAACTGTGTTGACATGTAAGGACCAGTTGTTTGCCTACCAACATTCATGTCCGCTTCTTCCTTCCTAAAGACACCTGCATTTTGTTCAGGTGCCACACAGTCAAGTAGCTCGGGGGAAGATAACTCACCCCTGTTAAGAGCATCCCACTAAATAGAATATGATTCCTTTGGAGTGACTGGCTCAGAACAGAATATCCAGAGATGGTCAATGAGATACAAGAAGTATGCTGGGGGGCCTCTCTCATTTGTAATAAACAGTCCCTGGAAGGCCCTGTGGGTTGTGCTTTACAACCAGAAAATCTGATATTGTTGCTGTCCTTTTTTGGCAGAAAAAAAAAAAAACGGAGATCATAACACCAGTTTCTGGCTTGTGCTTTTATCCCTTGGTATTCTACTGCTACACACTTTCCTGAAAGGTGAGTTTGGGGACATTGGAGATAGGAGGTAAAGGTCCTAGACTTATTTCATCGAACTAATTTTGTTCAGCTAATTTAGTACTCATTCAACACTCAGTTTCACTAATTTACAACAGCCAAAAACTGATTTCCTCTGAGAATCTAAGAGAGTATTCATTACTAGCAGTGATATTTAAAATGAAAAATATGAGATGAAGCAATACTATCTTTGGCAAAGACAAAAAAGAAAGTAGGAACTTGGGGCTGACATGGTAGCAAAGCAGGCTAATCTTCCACCTGTAGCACTGGCACCCTTTATGGGTGCTGGTCCTAGAAGTGGCTGCTATAACTTCAACCTAACTCCTTACTAACAGCCTAAGAAAGCAACAGAGGATGTCCTTCAGGGAGACTTAGAACATCCTGGCTCCTAGTTTCTGACAGGTTCAGCTCTGGCTGTGGCAGCCATTTGGAGAATTAACAGTTAATGGAAGATCTCTCTGTCTCTCCCTCTATGTAACTATACTTCTAAAGAAAAATAAATCAAACCTTTAAATATATATAAATAAAATTGCTCCATCACTCTTATGATTCCTGGTTTTTTTGTTTGTTTGTTTTTGTTTTTTTAAGGGGGGGCGGAGTAGAGGAAGGGCCAGCACAGTAGCCTTAGTGGTTAAGGTTTTTGCCTTACATGCTCTGAGATCCCACATGGGTGCCAGTTCATATCCCAGCTGCTCCACTTCCCATCCAGCTACTTACTCGTGGCCTGAGAAAGCAGTCAAGGACGGCCCAAAGCCTTGGGACCCTACACCTGCATGAGAGACCCAGAAGAAGCTCCTAGCTTCAGATTGGCTCAGCTATAGCCATTGCAGCCACTTGGGGAGTGAACTAGTGAATGAAAGATCTTTCTTTCTGTCTCTCCTTCTCTCTATAAATCTGACTTTTCAATCAAAATTAATACTCAACTCTTTAAAAGGGGAGGGGTTGGCAGCACAATGGTTCAGTGACTAAATCTTCGCCATGCATAGGCTGAGATCCCATATGGGCACCAGTCCATGTCCCAGCTGTTCCACTTTCAATCCAGCTCCATGCCTGTGAACTGGGAAAGCAGTGGAGAATGGCCCAAGTCCTTGGGACCCTGCACCCATGTGGGAGACCCAGAAGAAGCTCCTGGATCCTGGCTTCAGTTTGGTTCAGCTCTTGCCATTGCAGCCACTTGGGGAATGAGCCAGCAAATGGAGGAGCTTTCTCTCTGTATCTCCTTCTCTCTGTTATTGCAATAAATAAATAAATAAATAAATAAATAAATAAATAAATCTTAAAAAATAAAAAGGGTAGGATCTTGAAAAAGGAGAAGTACAACAAATAAAGGCTTTTTGAGAATTTTTTCCCATTAATACAACTCTGAAGAGGTTATTTCAGCACCGTAGGTTAATCTACTAGTTGGAATGCCTACTTCCCATCTGAGTTCCAGTTTGAGCTTTGGCTCCTCAGCTTCTGATCCAGCTTCCTATTAATGCTCCTATTAGGCAGTAGATCTGACTCACATATTTGGGATCTTGGCATCCATGTGGGAAGCTCAGGTGGAGTTTCTGGCTCCTGGTTTCAGCCTAGCTCAGTCCCAGCTGTTGCAGGTATGTGGGAAGTGAGCCAGTATATAAATTCTCTCTCTTGTGCTCTCTCTCTCTGCTTTTAAATAAACAAAACTTGGGAAAAAATTCTAGAACTCTGCCAGTTGAGACACTTACTACAACTAAAAAATACTTCAGATGAAAGCAAAAATGAACTTTCACAGCAAAAACCAGTAGTCAATGGAATAGAACAAAGTAGGAGCCAGAAGAGTGCCTATGGTTACTGTTAACATTTAACCAAATGGCAGAATTGTACAAATAAAGTTAGACCAAAAAAAATGTAAATATTCAATGACACAAGTATTAAATGCATGAGTTGATATGATTATTTTATGACAACAAAATTATTTTTCAAGCTACTTGCTTCATGTCAGTATGCTGGAGGACTTACACTGAGCCAGTCACATCTAATGATCCAGGGCCTCTTTGAGGACATCTAGATAAGAAGAGCTGTGCAGATTCTTGAATGGATTGCAAGCTCTTGGTCTTCCGGCCTATAATGAAGATAATGTATGCGATGTAAGTGGTTTGTACATTCTGAGGTCCAAAATGTTTAAGTTCCCTTACCTTTCTTTATTATCTCCTGCCATCATGGACAGGGCCACTGTTCCCTTAGAATAAATTTAAAGTCTGCCTCTGATAACTAAGTAAAACAACAAGGAGAAAGATCTACTTGATATAGATCTGCACTCAGCCACTTCCCACAGTTGGCTAAGGCGGAACAGACATTTGACCTAAGCCTCGCGAGCTCCTTGGAGTCAGGGATGCCCCTGCCCAAGAATTCCCAGTGTTAAGAATGTGTCTTGCAAGTAGACAGTGTAATAGATACTGGAATTTCTCAATTGTAGGCAACAGCTTGGGTTGCCTTGTACCTAGGCAAGTGCTACACTGCTGGGAGAAAAGCAGCCAGTAGCTAGTAGGCATTCTTAGTCTGGTTAATGCCAAATTTGTGTTAACTATATCAGTATGTCAGCATACTTGCTTTTTTAAAAGAGATATGTAGAGAAAGCCAGTAATACTGGCCTGGGACATGCCAATTCAGTCCCAGGCAAGAAGTGAGGTGCTGGTTGCCTGGGGTTAGGGTATCTGGAGGCATACTGGAATTAGAATCACTGAGGGCATGTTTGATAGGGGAGGAATGACTTCGGGGGTCTTCCACAGCCCTGTCCACTGCACTCGCAGGTAGGCAAGGGAGCTGAGATGGAGTAGTTTAGAACAGAAAAACTTAAGGACAAGCATGGATCAGGCCATGGCACCTGCCTACAGGGGAATGAGTTACCTAGCATTGCCCACCAGTACACACAAAAGCTGGGGCTAGGTGGCATGTCTGGCTGAACTGGACCACAGTACCCCCCTCATGAGTGTCAGAGCACAGAGTTGGGCCATGCCAGGCTGGACCACAGCACTCACCAGAATGGTGAGAGAATCAGATCTGGGGGCAGATTCTATAGGGGACTTGTGGGATCACCACTATGAGACTGCAACTTCTGTCGAATTATGCAGAGAGGTGAAGGTGGTGACTAGATGAAGCAGGTTTGGTAGGGGAACTTGAGGAGCTCCTCTGCTAGGTTGCGTCTTCCACTGGAGAGTGTGAGAGTCAGGACCATAACATCCACCAGTTCACATAAGCACTGGTAGCGGGCCAGGCTGAGCTAGGCTGCAGCACCATATGCAAGAACTGGGGCTGAGGGCCAGCTGGACTGAGCCAAGTTGTAGCACTTGCTGGTGAATGCTGATACTAGGGGCAGTCCATTCCAGATTTGAGGCAGCATCTGCTGACATGTCCAAGATCCAGAGCTGGTAGAAGACCTAGTAGGGGAACCTCCAGGACTATGCTGCTAGGCCACTGCTTCCACAGGTAAGCATGAAAGTTGAATCTGGCGGTATTAGCTTTCATTGCCATAAACCCCAAAAGGGCTAGATGCAGCGAGTCACACAGGAAGTTTTTAATTCCAGCAAGGAAGGTGGCTATGGGAAAGAGAGAGCAGAGAATCTGACAGACTGCTCCCTCGTGGGAGACAGCACAGGACCACATGGCAGGGTGACCCATGTAAGGGCAATGGCCACCCAAGGTATGCAACACTGGACTTTTATACATTTCAAGTGTGGGAGGTGGGGGAAGGCAACAGGTCCTCAGTATACACATGCTTGTGACTGTGACAGGTCATCATGATGGGTGTTGATCTTCTGTGAGACTCAGCATTTTAAACATTTCTGGATGGGAGTGTCTGACTTTGGCAAAGATAGCATTAAAGCTAGTGAAGCTTTCTTCTGTTTGTGGTCAGGAAGGAGAGATAGCATTGGGACTCAGTCTGCTGCTTGATGTTCCAAGGTTACCAGGTGTTCCTGGCATGTGATGAGCTCACTTGTCCTCTGATGCACTCAGCTTCTTTAGGAATCACTTCTGCTTGGTCCATCAGAGGGTAAGCAGGTCTGAGCAGGATTGTAGCATCAAGAGCTGGCATTCGGGCTGGGTCTAGGGGCAGACCTCAGGCTGGATTAGACTGCCACAAACACTAGTACACCCGAGACTCGAAGTGGGTGTGGGCCAGCTGGGCTAGGCCACTGCACTACCTGGCAAGTTCCAGGTCTGCATGCAACTCATGTCAGACTGGACCACAGTACTCCCCAGCAGTGCAAGATAGGGACTGAGAGCATACCTGGCAGGGAAACTATGGACCACCCCTGCTAGGCTGTAAGTCTGCTGGTAAGCACAAGAATCAGGGCTGGAGATGGACAAGGCTGGATTAGACAGCACCTGTTCGTATCCATAAGGACCAGCTCTGGGGGCAGGTCAGGCTGAGCTAAGCCACAGCACCCATGAATGCACATGAGAGCCAGATGGAATGTGTGCAGGGCTGGGTTAGGCTGCAACAGAGACTGGCACACACAAAAACCAGGGCTGGGGACAGGCCTGCTGGAAGTTATTGGATGTCACCCCAGTTAGGCCATAGAACTTGCTGGTATGCATAAAGAACAGGTCTGTAGTGGGCTGGCTGGGTTGGGCTTTGGCACGCATAAGTTTACAGAAGATATAGGCCTGGAGCAGAACTGACCAGGCAGCTGCATCCACCAGTCTATGTATTGGTTGGTGCAAGTGACAGTCTGAACCTGACCCTACACTGGCTGGTGCACACAAAGTTCAAGTCTGAGATCACCCCAGGTAAACTTTCTTGGGGGACCCCCCAACTAGACCAACGGAAGCAGACCCCAGCCACAGGGAAAATCACAGCATCTGTAGTTCAACCTTGCAGCGGATGTGTCCAGACTGGGCTTCCTCAGTTACTGATGCCTGCGCAGTGGACAGCATGCCCAGATGCACATAGAGGACATGATGGCCAGATCATCTAGACCCACAAGGGACATCAATTTTCACATCAAAGGATGGAAAGTGTAACAGGTTGGACAATTCTGGGCAAGCCAGCAGCATGTTCCTGGATCAATGGATGCACTAAGGTAGACTTAGTCAATCAATAGACCTTGCAAAGATTTTCTCAGCCCTGGAGCAACACAACCAACAGCTTCTCAGAACTATCAAAACCATTCTGGTAACACCCTTGGAGCACTCTTCCCCACTTCAGAGTCTCTAAGGCCTCACCAGATGACCACCTTCCAGCCCAGGGTTCTGATGTAGTTTGACAGCAAGGAGTCTCTTACCCTTCCTTCCCTGTGGACACAGGAGAAAAACAAAAAACAAACTTTTGTCCTATCCACCTTTCTCCATATCTGACCCTTCCCACCCCAATCAAAGGCCTGCATGATGTGCATTCCTCTCATATATATAAACAATATTTTTAAATAAGTTAAAATTTAAAAACAGATATTAGGGGCCCAGTATAGTATTTTAGTGGCTAAAGTCCTTGGCTTGCATGTGCCAGGATCCCATATGGCCACCAGATTGTATCCCAGCCTGCTCTGCTTCCCTTTCAGCTCCCTCCCTGATTGTGGCATGATAAAGCCGTAGAGGATGACCCAAAAGAAGCTCCTTTTCCTAGCTTTGGATAATCTCAGCTCCGGCCATTGCAGCCACTTGGGGACTGTTCCAGCAGATGGAAGATCTTTCTCTCTGTCTCTCCTTCTCACTGTAAAGTCTGACTTTGCAATAAAAATAAATAAATCTTTTAAAAATATTTTTAAAAAATAGATATTGGAAGGCATTAAATATCACTGAAATTAGTTGAGAATCAGAAGTGAGAGTTCAATCAGGGATAGTTAGAGTTACTCAGCAGGAAAAAGGAACTCATGGAGAATGACTAAAGAGGTCCGTGGGTATTTAAATCAAAGATTCAGCCTTTTATTAGAAAGTGGATGGGAAAATGACATAGTGGGAAAGAAATGAGATGGCAGAAATCCCTGAAAGGTCATGGATCAGAGCGTGTGACTCACCTGCAGGGATTGTGGGGAGAGGATATTTACACATTCATTCGGCAAACATTTCTTAAGTTGCCATAATATGCGAGGCTCTGTGCTGGGCACAAACCCACACAGTGTAAGATACTGTTCCTATTTCAAAAGAGCTCTCGGATTATGAAGAGACAGACACAAAAACAAACAACTTCATGGAAAGCTGTGATGTAATCAAAGTCAAGCTAAAATGGAGACAGTTACAAAGAGGAATGTGATCAAAGGAGAGAGTGTGATTATTTATGGAGATCTGGAATGCCTTGAGAGATGAACAGGTGTTTCTCGAGCAAATTTAGCAACATGGGCCAAAGCACAGAGGCAGCAATTACACAGAACATTGCAGAAAGGAGGGTCATTTGGTGTAACTGGAGTACAGCATTAACTAAAAAGAGAAAAGCGGCAGGAAAGGATGTTGAAAAAGAAGAATAAACCTGAATCACAAAGGACTTCACGTGCTCTACAAGCAGATTTACTCTCAGCATAAAGGTAAGATGGGACACATCAGAACTTGTAAGCAGGTGCAACACAGGATAGGTTTCTTCTGTTTCGGACTGGTGCCATGGCTCAATTGGCTAACCCTCCACCTTAAGCACCAACATCCCATATGAGTGCTGATTTATGTCCCAGCTGCTCCACTTTGCATCCAGCTCCCTGCTATGGCCTGGGAAAGCAGTGGAATATGAGCCAAGGCCTTGGGACCCTGCACCTGCATGGTAGACCCAGAAGAAGCTCCTGATGCCAGGCTTCTGATCAGCTCAGTTCTGGCCATTGTGGCCATTTGCGAAAGAAACATTTAACAAATAAGCAGGGAGAGGAGTCAGGAAAGTAAACAGTGGCCAGGCACTGTCATACTCCCTGGAGCTTTCCTCACTCACAGATGCTCCTCTGGAAAATTCCAGACAATCCCAGTTTTGAAAGTAATCAAGAGCTCTCTGCTGAGAGTTCCAACCCTACTCCTCCTTTCACTCAGCAAACTTGCATGGAGTGGAGACTGTGTGCCCAACGATGCTGGGTGCCCAGGCTAAAATTGTTTTGATTTTATTTTTGATGATTTTTACATAGTTGATTAGGGTGTGAAGGGTCAAAGGCTAGAAGAAAGTGGGTGAAACCATTATTTCCACATTCTCTTTTCTCCTTCCTCTATCCAGAGAGGGAGATAAGGGGAGAAACCACACTCAGCCTCCTAACCACTTCCGTACCCTGGGATAGGGACATCCACCTGATGCCTTCCCAAGGTCCCCGATGTGGGACATGCTACAAGGGTCCCACTCAAGTGTTTTGCTAGTTCAACAGTTCTGACTTGCTGTCAACGTTGCCATTCCAAGCACGATGAAATCTCTCCAGAATTCACTGGCTGGCATAGTCCACTTTAGACTTTCCGTTTACCCAGATATTAACTGCCAAAGCTTGGCTGGAGTAGTTGATTGATTTGTTCTGTCCTCCATCCTCTGTTATGGTACCAGGTGTCCTCTGCAGGCTCCAATATACTGCATATCCTCCATGTGTATCTGGATATGCTGTGCACTGCTCCATCTAAGCCACTAACGAGGCTCAGCTCTGATACATGCACTCCTCAGCCAGACCATAGACCCTGCGATTCTCTCCATGGTTGGATTTCTGAGTCCAGTGGTTCAGTTGGGGAGATCCCCAAAGAAACCTCATTTGAGGTGATTCCAGACCTGATTCTTGTGTGTGCTTGCCAATACAAGGTCTGGCACATTCTGTTGCCCAAATTAGCCTATGCATACACTGGTGGTTGCAATTACTAGGTCAGTTCTATCTCCAGCCCTGTCTTCTACATAAACCAATGGGTGTTGGAGCCCAGCCTGATCCTGCCCACCACACTCTCAGCCTTCACATATGCAAGTGGGAGCAGCCACCTAGTTAGAGTGACCGGCAATAACCCCTATTAGGCCCGCCCCCTACCTGGTGTCCGTGCTTGCTAGTATGTACAGCAGGGTGGTCTAGTCTGTCCTACATTCCCACTCAGCTCTCATACATGTAAATGGGCATTGAAGCCTAGTTCAACCCAACCAGCCCCATTATTCTACCCCCACTGGTGTGGGGCAGGTGCCACTCTCTGTCTAGCCATACCTATCCCTAGTGTGCATTCTCATGCTCACCAGCTAGAGTAGCAACACAAGAGGGAGATGCCCACTGTTTCCCTACTAGGCCCACTTCCACTCCCAGATCTTGTACTCTCCAGGTGGTTCTGTAGTCTAGCTTGACAGAATTTGCCCCTAGTGCCAGCATCTGCCAGCTGATGCTACAGTAAAACTCAACCAACCCACACCCACTCTGGCTTATCCATGCACCAGTAGGTACAGTCAACCCAGCTTGGCTTTCTCCCAATCCAGCTCACATGCAGGCCAACAGATGTCGTAGCCCTGCCTGGCCTGGTCTGCTCCTAATCCCATCTGTCACACTCACCAGTAGGAGGTATGGCCCATCAGGGGAACCCCCTGCAATCCTACCGGGTTTTCTCCCTTCTCCCCTGGGTCTCTCGTGTTTGGATTGGGTGCTTCGGCCCAGTGCAGCATGGTCCACCTCAACTTGGCATTTGCCAGTGGATGATGTAGCCTAACCCATCCCCAGCCTGGCCCATCCCCAGTTCCTGTTCTCGCTGGTGGGGGTCATATCCTAGCCCAGCCCAGCCATCCCGCAAGCCCAGCCTTCATGTGAATTGGCTGGTATTGCAGCCCAACCCAGAACAACCCCCACACCATTCTGGTTCTTGAATCTGCCAGTGGGTGATATGAACTGGCCCAGCCTGGCTCACCCAGACCTGAGCCAAATGAATGCTGGTGGGTACCGTAACCTGGCCTGGTCTGGGCTGCTCCCTGTTTTGGTTCTTGTGCTCACCTGCAAGAATTGCATTCTGACAGAGGAGTTGCCCAACCAGGCCAGAATTCTTTCAGGAACAGTGTTTGCTGTTGTGATAATTATCCATTCCTGTCACTATCATCTTCATCACTGTCTTATGCAAAACAAGAAGCACATTAAAGGCTCCTATGGGGAAGCTGAAGAAAGCATCTAAGGGTCAGGGAATTATTTTTCCTATTTTTGGGAGTGGTGATGACAGCTGTTTTATCCTGAAAACCGATTTTTCCCTTCTCTGTCTTAGGGCCATGGGAGTGGAAGAAGGCTTCTGGTCTTACCTCAGAGAAGAAGCTCTGCTCCTTTCCCTGAGCAGTATTTGCCCAGTATAAATTGATCTTTGGAATCCTGTAAGATCCTCTTGATGGTGATGGGTGAACGAATGGTTGCAGGCACCTTGAATCCTTATTCTCAGTCTCAGGGTTTGATCTTGGTGGTTACCATTATGTTTAGCTTTCCTCATGATCCATTGCAACATATCATGAGATGACAGTGCTGGCACCCCTACCTGCATTTGGAAAGACTCTGCTGGTGACACAAGAGAAATCAGAAGGTTAAACTTTTTCAACATTTTTTCAAAGACCTTTGGGAAAGACTAAAACCTTGAAAAATAAATGATGGCAAAAGAAGGCTATTTTTGTGCTAGCGTTTGGCAAAGAAACAATTTAAAGTAATCTCTGAACTCGTTAAACAATTCCCTTCTGTCTGACCCTCACCAAGAACTCCCTTCATTTCCTTGGAATTTTGACTTCCTTCCAAACATCCCTCAGACAGCTCCTCCTTTCCCCCAGGTGGGCCTGCTGAAGCTGAGCCTTCGGGTGCTTTAATTTCCTTGGACTGTTACAACAAATGACCACAAAGAAAAAAAAGTCTTCCCTCACAGTCCTAAAATCAACATCAGGACTATCCTCTCTTTGAATGTTCCAAAAAAGAATCATTCCTTGCCTCCTCAGCTTCTACTGACTGTCAGCAGCTCCAGACATTCCTTGGCTTACAGCTGTACCACCCCAGTTCCTGCCTCCGTCTTCCTTCTGCATTTACCTGTCTGAGCAAACACCCCACGTTTTAGAAACATCCCATGCAATGGGTTTGGGGCCTTTTCTAATCCAGTCTGGCCCATGTTATTACATCTGAAAATGCCCTATTTCCAAATAACGTGGTAGTCATCCGTACTGGAGGTTAGAACTTCAACATGTCATCATAGAGGATGCAGTTATCTGGCAGCAATACCCAAATCCTGAATCTTCCTGTCTGAGAACATCCCACCAAGAGTCATTATGTAGGTGAGCCAGCCATGGGATTCTCCAGAGTTTCTCTGTGAACCTGGAAGAATAAACTTCCTGTCTTCAAAATGTTGTAAGCTATGAAACAATTTTCCTCCTTCATCCCTCTTAATTGACCTCTCTTCTGTCTTCTCTCCCTCTCTTCTATTCTCCCTCCATTTTTCCTTCCTTTTCATAATTACTTCTGAATATTTTCTATGTGATAAACCTAATGTTGACCCAATTTAGGAAGATAAAGTGAAACTCCTACATTCAATATCTACACGTAGTAGAAAAATTCAATCGTACATAAATATAAATATATATATGGCAGAAGATAGAAGTTGCCATAAAACAGTCATGGATGCAGTAACCCCAACATGTACAAACACAGATCCATTCTTCCTAGGAAGAATCAAGGAAATATTTGAGTTGACCTCCAAGATTATCTAGGATTTGGATTTGCAGAGATTAGGAAAAGCTTCCAGTTCATGTTGGAGCAAAGGCATACAGACCAGAACAGACAGCATATTTACACATTCCTCATTGTGTCAGAGACCCCATAAAACCATTACTATACATACATTTCAGAAGTTTTCATAGGGACAATATTGGACTGCAAAGATCACCAAAAAAAAAATCACAAAAGTGGTCATCTCCGGGCAGTTTTTTAAAACAGGTTTGTGTTATATTATTTTTTTCAAATTTTCTTTAACAAGTATGTATTAGTTTTAATTAGGAAAATAATTTTTTCAAGATTTTCAAATCACCTCAAAATAGTTGTCACCAAAAAAAAAGATGGAGAAATAGATTCTTCCCAGACACAAAATTTTGAGAAAGCAAAACAGCTATAATCACGATCAGTAGATTATCTTCGTGGAAGTAGAAAAAATGACCAGGAGAGGCGGCAGACCCACCAGTTGCTTCCTGCACTCCCTAGGGTGAGCATACTTGGAGGTAGGGCCCAACCTGGGTTTTTCCTTTACATAGGCATGGTCTGCCCTCTGCTGGTCATTCAGGAGTTACCAAAAGCAAGAGTTTGTGTTTCAAGCCTACGAAGAGAATTGAGAGACATAAATTCATCCTTCTGATCTTAAAGACATTCACTGGGTTGCTTTGACCGAGTTTTCACTTTCTTGCAGCATCAGATAGAGATGCTCATTTGTTCACTTCCCCTCTCTGTCACCCCAGGGTGAGAACTGCAAATGATCACCCAATTCAAGGAACTCACCAGTGGCAGGGCAGGGTTTAGCTTGATGCGTAAGATGTGCAGATCACAGGAGTATGTGATGCACCTGCAGGGTGTATTGCAGTAGGGTGAGGTGTTAGCTCCAACTCATACAGAAAGCAAGCAGTTGCATCAGCCAACTCAAGGTCCCTCATTACAGTGTTTTCTAAATTAGGTTAAACTCAGCCTCAGCATCATGGGCTTGCAAGACTGGCTGGGTCTTAATGGCTGGTCTTGGAGCAGGGAGAGAGGGACTGTCCTGCGCCTTGTTTGGCACCATTTTTGGTTTCTGTCCTGCAGGTGCCATATGGTCATTTGTCCCAGCTGTGATGGCCAAAACATCTCCAGGCTTTGTCAAACCGCCCATTCTACCTAGGAGGTAGAGGAAGGGAGCAAAATTGTCCCCTGCGAAAGAACACAGCTTTAGACCCACCCCAGCTTTCTTTCCTTCTGAAGTCTAAGCGAATTCACAAATCATCACTCACCTTATGTGTAAACACACAGGAAAGGCACGAACAAAGAATTACAGTCACACACCCTCCCGGTCACCCCTTACCCTCTGGAGTTTGGCTACATCGACTACTTTTTAAAAATCTGATAGCATAACTTTTATCTAAAAAAAAACTGTTCAGTCAGCAAAAGATAAACACCTGTTATTGGCAAGGTAGTGCTCTGAGGTCCATATGAGGCACACACAAGTCTTGTCCTGCAAGAACCACGGGGCACCATGCAGGGGGCATGGGCAACCACACGTGGGTAACAAAACCTAGGAAAGCAGCACTTGATGAAAACCTGAGGACAGGTCCACAGACTCTCATGCACATTTCGGAAACCCAGTAAACTCAGAAACCCCTTTCTTGTTTTATCAAATTTCTCATTGAAATCCACATGATGGCCCAACAGCCTCTGAAGTGCATGAGTCTCCCCACAATCTTTGCCAGCCCTGCTGAGTGAGCAGTCACCCTCTGCAGAAAAGGGGGTTGTGGCATTTGTTCAAGAGTGTGCCTCCCAAGCTGTGCTGGAGGCTTTGTGTTATGTGTCACATGTGCACGGTCTCTCTTTCCAAAGCCTCAAATAATCTGAATTCCAGAACGCATTATGGGCCCCATGGGCTTGGCACAAGGAACTGTGGATGAGTATCTGTAAAGCAGAAGGGAAATGAGTGACATCGGAATGAATAACACTTTCACACTGGAAATCGTTATTTCTCATGCACACTGTAAACTTGTGATGTGAGATAAAAAAAAAAAAGAGTGTGTGAGGTAGTATATAGGACAGCTGAAGGTTTTTCGCATGAACAGTGTAACTAGCCTCCCCCCACTCTCCCCAACAATGAAACAAACTATTATGTACCTCCATCACCCCAGGAAGGAGAGGCAAAATCTGCTCACAGATACAGCCCAGTGCCCCCACTGCAGCCCACTCCTCCCTCTAGGCAGCCCTCCTGCTAGAAATAAAACTTCCTTCTAACTCCAACCAGCAGGGACCCGAGCAGCTCGCTGGCTTCACCGGCTCTGTTCTCAGACTAGCTCCAGGCCCACGCAGCCTTAGCCTGAGATGAGCAGCTTATTTTTGTTTTTATTTTTTTCAAGGCTTGTTTATTATCAAGGGTCATACTGAGAGACAGATATAGAAAGAGAGAATTTCCATCCGCCAGTTCACTCCCCAAGAACAGCAGCCTGGAACTCCATCCTTATCTCTCACATGGGTGTCAGGAGTCCAAGCATTTGGGCATCTTCTACTGCCTTCCTAGCTGCACTAACAGACAACTGAATTGGAAGAACACTTGGGACTTGAACCAGCACTCACAGCGGATGGCAGCATCACAAGCAGTTGTTTAACCATGGCACCACGCAGTCCATGCAGCAGCTTCAAGCTTGCGTCCAGGCTCTCTCAGCTGCAAGTATAAGAGATGGCAGAGAGGAGTGGTTAACATCTCTAACTCTAAAGTTTAATGTAAAAAAAGATTTCACAGGAGACAAGTTTTCATGTGCTCACAAAGTAGGAAAAGGGCCAGCTGTCTAGCCTAGTGGTTAAGAAATCCTCATCCCAGGGCCTGGTGTGGTAGGCTAGTGGCTAAAGTCCTCACCTTGCATGCACTGAGATCCCGAATGGGTGCCTGTTCATGTCCCAGTTGCTCCACTTTCCTTTTAGTTCCTTGACCGTGGCCTGGGAAAGCAGTAGAGGACAGCCCAAAGCCTTGGGATCCTGCACCCATGTGGGAGACATGAAGAAAACTCCTGGCTTCAGATCAGATTAGCTCTGGCCATTGCGGCCACTTGGGCAGTGAGCAAGTGAATGGAAGATCTTTCTGTCTCTCCTTCTCTCTGTAAATATGACTTTCCAATAAACATAAGTTTATCTTTAGGAAAAAAATGAATCTTCATCCCACATCACAGTGCCTGGATCTAAGTCCCTAACCTCACTTCCTAATCTCTGTCTATCCCTGTACCTCCTCAAAAAGTTTTTTAAAAAAAGAGAGAGAGACTTTGGGTAAGTTACCAACTATTCAGGCGGTTCTCATTTATAAGGATTTCAACTTAAACTAGAGCTTGACATCTCCTTTCTACCAAGTTCAACCTTTCATCCTTCAAAGGACTCTTGACCTGTTTGAACTCCTCCCCATCCCCGTTTGGTGGTGTTTTTTTGTTTTTTTGTTTTTTGTTTTTTTTTTTTTGGTTTTTTTTTTTTGGCTTCTATTAATTCACTTAGAAATATATAGTGAACTTGTGAGACAGGCTAGTCCTCTGCTGGATCTTCCATGCAAGTGCAGGGTTCCAAGGCTTTGTACCATTCTCTACTGCTTTCCCAGGCCACAAGTTGAGAGCTTGAAGGGAAGTGGAGCAGCCAGGATACAAACCAGCACACATATGGGACCCTGCCACATGCAAGACAAGGATTTAGCCACTGAACCCTCACACCAGGCCCATGAGTACATTTTTTTTCATCTGATATACATTTGCAATTGTTACTAAGGGGATTCATTTCTTTGGATGGCTTGTCTTCCCAAATTGTAAAAGGTTATTTCAAAAAGTTAGTGGCAAAATGGAAATAAAAGAGAAGTTAAGGAAGTGAAAATTAGTACAACTGTTATGAAGAACAGTTGGAGAATAATGAAGAAAACTAAAAAGAGATCTACCATGTGACCCAGCTACCTTGCTTCTGAAAATATATCCAAAGGAAGTAACATCAGCATATGAAAGAGGTACCTGTGCTCCCATATTCATTGCACAATGTTCAGTACACTGAAGATATGGACTCATCCTAGGCATCCATCAGTGCATTAATAGATAAAGAAACATGGTAGAGAATCAAGATGGTGGAATAGGGTAAGGACACATTCAAACGGATGAAAAAACATTTAATCAGGATGAAGCAGAGAGGACTTATTCTAGGAAATGGGAAGGGACAGAACAACAGCAGAGGGGTACCTGCAGACTGACAGACACAGGAAGGCAGCAGACACAACAGTGTGGTGTTGCAGTGACTGATACTCTAGCAGCATTCAGCTATCAGCGATCTGAACTACACCAGCAGCTGGAACTCCAACAGCAACCAGGTAGGAAGGGACTTTCACTGGGAGCTTGGGAGGTGAACCCAGACAAAGAACTGACCATCCTGATGGTCTGTTTGATTTGACAAGGAGCAGAGACAGAGCAGCAGATCTGAGCCTGGCAGTGTGGGAACAGAGTGGATTGCATAGAACAGTCTGCCCACCCTACCCCCTGCCAGAGCCATATCGGGCACAATTTTGCTTAAGGAGGCAAGGGCTATGGACAGTACTGCACATGCACTGAGCTGGGAGTGAGCTCATTTCTGGTTCAATGAACTGCAAAAACATGGCATTCCACAGGTTCCACCCAAGATAGGTCTGGGTAGCCCTCAGACCTGATGCCCAGCAGATCAAGAACTCTAGTAGTGGTACATCAGGCGCCATTTCTTACAGTGTGGCAAAGAATTTAAGACTTCAGGGGGACAACAGTGAGCTGTGCATGCACTGAGCTAGGAGCCAACTCATGAGCTCAGAGCATTGCACTGGTCCCACAGGAAAATAACACCAACTATGGCATCATACCGGTCAAAACAGGTCTGTGTGGCCCTCAGACCTACTGGCCAACAGGTTCTGGCAAGATCATCACCAACAACAACCTAGTTATATACGACACCTGGTGTCTCCCTAATTCTGGGATCTGCTCCAACCAGAAGTGGGAGAAAGGTTGTACAGACAATGGTGCAGCCTCAGCACAGTATCACAGGAGGTAGAGACTGGTGAATCAGGTGCTGGGGCAATGGAGACCATGGCAGAAATCTAACAGAAGAACCCAGACATGGAACTCACCGGAGGGAGTGGCACAAGAAACTACAAACAAAGAGCCGTGTACCAACTGCAATAAGTAAAATCGAACTGAAGACCTGTGGGTAACACAGCTTAGAAACCTGCCCCAAGGAGAAGAATCTGATGACCAGAAGTACAATGGCCAGGAGCAAAAGAAGAGACAAAGGCACAATGAATATTACTGAAGACTCCTGCAAAGGAGCAAACGCTTTGCCAACCTCAGAGTTCAATGAGGAAGACACTGAGAAAATGGGGGATAGAGAATTAAAAACACTTACTATAAAAATTCTTATCAACAAGAAACACATAAAGCAGGCATTCAAGGAATTTAAAGAATATGTCACACTGGAAATGAATAAAATGAAAGCTGATATATCAGAAATGAAGAATACAGTGGAGCAAACTAAAAGTACAGTGAAGAGTCTCCAAAATAGAACAAAGGCGACAGAAGAAAGAATCTCAAAATTAGAAGATATTTATTACCTGGGGGAAACAAACAAAAAGCTGGAAGCAGAGCTGGATCAGGCTTAAAAAAAGTATTCAAGAATTGAAAGACACTATTAAAAGGCCAAATATAAGAATTACGGGAGTGCCAGAAGGTGCAGAAAGAGAAGCTGGATTTACAAATGTAGTTAATGAAACAATAAAGGAAATTTTCTCTAATCTAGAGAAAGAATTGGGAAACAACATCCAGGAGGGGCACAGAACTCTCAACAGGCTTGACCAAAAGCAATCTTCACCAAAACACATGATCATCAAGCTCTGTTCAATCCGACAAAAGGATTAAGGATCCTTAAATGTGCTCATGAAAAAAAATCAATTGACATATAAAGGATGGCCAATGAAACTCACAGGAGACCTCTCACAGGGAACTCTACAGGCCAGAAGAGAATGAAACGTCATAGTCCAAATTCTAAAAGAAAAAAAAAATTGTTGGCACAGGATAACATACCCAGCAGAACTTTCCTTTGTCTTTGACAATGAAATAAAATTCTTCCACAGTAAGGAAAAGTTAAAAGAAATATGCCTCTTCCAAACCTGCCCTACAAATGATACTTTAAGATGTTCTCTTGCAGAGAAAAGGAAGAGCACCCACAAAAACCAAAGACAAATGTGAAGAACATCCCAGTAAAATAACAACATAAGACTAAATCAATGAACAATCCATTGCTAAAACCAAATTACCACCACTCTTATTAACCCTGAATATAAATGGCTTAAACTCATGAATCATTAGTAGACTGGATTAAAAAACAAAATCCATCTGTTGTTGCTTACAGAAAACACATTTCACCAACAAAGATCAGTAGAAATTCTATCTCATGGGTTTTGATTTTATTTTGTTAGTTTCATCTCTTTAAAACACTTTCTTCTGATCAAATTTTTCACTGACTCATAGATCATACAGTAGCATCATTTTCTTCAAGAAGGTTCTTGATTTTCTTCTTCATTTTTTCAGTGACACATTAGTCATTTAATAACACTTTATTTAACTACATGGTGTTGTTGATTTTGTTTTGTGGCTTTTCATTAAGGGGATGTATAGTAACTGTGTAAAGCAGACTATCATATTTATTAGCATGTTATTAAATTCATGGTGTTGCAAATTTATATTTTTCTTTCTTTAAAAAAAAATAATAAATTGGAAAATTATATGTGAAGAAACCAAAGGAATAGCTGTTGTAGAATATTTTTTTCCAAAGGACAGAAATGCAATTTCTTATTACTTGTAAGACAGTATGATCCTGTTTAATATAATAAACATTGACTGTGTCTTTATTAAAAAAAAAGAAACATGGTAATTTCTATACACACTGGACTATTAAATCAGTCAAAAAAGACTGAAATACTGACATTTACAATAAAATGGATAGAACTAGATATCATTATTAAATAATCTAAACACAGAAATACAAATATCACATATTCCCTCTTTCATATGTGCACATTCCATGTGTATGTGTGTATGTATACTCAGCTTGAATATGTTGCTGGGGGCTGGGAAGCATGGTGGATTATATGGCTACCAGGAACCAGCAGGTGAGGGGAATGGATTCTGGTGTTCACAAAATAGTGGGGTGTCTATAGCCTGAGATAAAGGAAACGGAAAAGCCAATCTCCGGTTATGATTGGGCTATTCTGTATATGTCTGTTGAAATATTGTATCATGCTCCAGAAAATGTACAGGGACTTCCTATTAACTACTTAATGATCACCCATATGAGTTCAGATTATTTTTGCTTTTGTTAGTAAAAGTAATTGTAGTGTTCATCCTTTGCTGTATTTGTTTACATCTCTCTCCTACTGCACTGTGTGTTTCTTAAGCATGTTTTCATATGTGCTAACTACAGGTGTTTGATGAGGAAGTGAAACATGGCCTACATTTGTTCTGAGGATTCCCTGTCCCTATAACTACGCTCAATGACAGATAATACTCAGACATGTGTAGGACTTCACAGTTTCCTAAGGGCTTTCACAGACATTTCTTTTTAAAAATTAAAAATATGCCTTGAACACAGAATTGTACCAAGTTTATACTAAATGGAATTGGGAGAAGTTGT